CCTTCATCCGGACAATTCGGGAGTTCGTCCTTTATTGCCGTACAGTGTAAACAACAACATCGCCGCAAGAGATCTCGAAAGCGTTTCAAAATTTCATTATTTTAATTTAATATGCAAAAGGGGGAACGCGTTGATGGCCCTCGGGGGTGAGCTGTCCTTTTGACATATTTTCATTTTCATTCCCATCTCTCGCTTACCATAATTTCCCTTTTCATTGTGGAGATTTTAAAGCCCATTCCGGAAGGTGTGGATGGAAGTGCGCAGCTTCGAACGCAGTGAGCAGGTTGACTTCCGCACCACCCATCGAAATCGGTGGTGGTTTCGGGTTTCAACCCCTGCGCTTATGATTATGATATTATTTCGAAATTATCCGCTTAGTTTCACGGAGTGGAAGCGGGCCATATGTGCGGCCATTGTGCCGGAAAATGGAATCATCTCACTGTTAATAATGATGACATATGATTTCCATTGTCAAATTTGTTGCTTGCACTGTTAAGTGAATTGGGCGCTTTGTCATCTTTTTTATTGAGTCAAGTCAGTTATGGGTGTTATCTGCCAGCGGGTAACCGGTTGCGTTAAATTTGTTGGCACATCATTAGTCAGGGCGATGTCGGGAAAGGTGCCCGAACATGAACATGACAAGTATTCTGTCTGTTGCCGCATCTGTTTTGATATTCTTAAGGGGTGGAAGGGTTAGCCTTGGTCCATGTACATCATACGGACCATTGGCAATGTTTGGGTTACACAAAGTGGGCGGCCAAGGGGCACATTTTGATTTACGATTGGCGAGCTTAATGTCTGCCATTAGCCAAAGTCAAATTCCTGCTCATTGAACATATTTTAATAAAAGCAGTTGACAACCAAGTCTCAGTAGTCAGCCCAAAATTATGTTTAAATACGTGGTATTTGCTAAGATAACGCAAGATGCAATTGGTGTTGCATACTTTTCGTCTAAAAATTAAAAATTATATTTATTAAATAAACTAATGTTAGAATGAACTACTGTAAAGAAGTATTAAATTACTGTAATGAAGTTCCTTAAATAGTATAAAAGCAAGAAAATAATTTAATATTGTTTTGGAAATAATTATTGGTATTTTTATTTTTTGTATGTATCCCGAAATTAATTTGTTTAAATAGAAACATTAAGAAATTTCTAAACATTCGATTTAGTTCTGGAAAATAAAAAGATGTATTTAAATTAGCGTAATATAATTTTATTTACATTCCCTGAAGGGCAGTACTTGAAATAGTAATTTAGTAACGTAATATAAATTTATTTACATTTTCTGAAATGAAGTACTAGAAATAGTAAATATCAACAAATAATTAAACATATCGATTTGGCAATTCCGATTTGGAATTGGAAAATAAAAGGATCTAATCACATTTACGTAATATATTTTTTTTGCTCTGTTAAATGCAATAATAAACAAATTGACCACATCATATGTGTAGAAATCCAAATATATTCAAGGAATTCAGAAAACTCAAAAAAAAAATCCAAATTAAATTAAATTTTTCAAACACTCCATTATTTTACACTTTCTCCAAGTCCTGCGTCACTCTGCAATCCCCAGGATAAGATTTCACTACCTTTTCTAGAAAGGTAAGTCCCCAGTTTCCAACTGGTCGTAACTTTTCATTAAAATTCATAAAACTTTAGTTGGTTATTGGGTATAGATCACGTTCGGACCATCAATCACATGACTGGCGGGACACGAGCGAAATTTTTAATGGCCGCCAATCAAAGTCGGGCTAAAATTACGCCAGAAAGTGACACAAAATCTCCGCCACGGGTGGGAATCTGCCCATATCCACCTCCCACTTCTTGGGATCCTGTCTGCTGGATATTTCCACCTGCTGTGCGGCAAATTGTTCCTTTCGCCTTATTGAAAATCGCAAAGTCTGCGGGGTGAGCGCTGAAGGGATTACGTTCTACTCGCAGGGGGGTGTGCAGAGTTATTCGAGGCAAATTAATAAATGGACTGAGCAGGAAGGACGTGGCGTGGGTGTGGACAACAAAGGGGGCTGCGAGGTGAGGCGACGGCAACCGCTTGACAATGGACATTTACAAATTTCGTGTGATTTGTTCCCGACTTCGCCACTTCCGTGATGTCTTGTCGGCGTTTGGGGCTCGCTCCTTGGCTGGTTGGTCGATGGGATTATAAAAATAAAAACTGCCTTTTGCCATATGCCATTTAAATGATAAAAGGATTTCGTCCTTCCCCAAAAAAACACAGACTACAACACACCGAAGCTAAGGCTGACCGCCCCCAAATGGACACGCACACGTGGTCAATTGCGTTTGGGGTCAACCCTTTCGCACCAGCGCCATCATTCTGCTGTCCAGCCCTTTCTCCAGCTCCTGTTCGTCCCCCAATCTTTGGCTCTGAGGACACTGAGAAAAAGCACCTAGTTATAATTATCCTTAAATATAGGAGTGCCTGATATCTCTTCCAACCCATACAAAATTGAACTAAATTTTGTAAGCAAATAAATCTGAAAGACACCATATGAAAAACTAAAAAAAAACTGTCACTGATTGACAATTTCTTAAATAAAAATAAAATCAATACACCAATTATTTAACGTACTTCATTTTAAATGAATAAAGCTGTGGTTTGTATAAATAAACCCCTAATTTCATAATCTTTGTGCCTATAGGAAAATAAGTGAATGTTTAGCCTTTGATGTTGTATAAGGTTCCATTCATAATAGTTGTTAATATTATTTTATATTAATATATTTTGAGTTAACTCTTGAAAGAGGGTTTTAAAATATTTAATATTAATATTTATTCCATTGGGCTTTAATCTTGAAATTGGGCTTTAAAATAAAAAAAATGTAAGTTTGTAATAGATGTAGCTGGACTGATATTGATATTACGAACTTCTATATACATTTCACCGTTCAATTTTGTAAAAAATTATATACCAGTCTAAAATTTAAAATGGAGTAAATATTTTTTTTCCCATTTCTTTCTCAGTGTAGGCCACCGGCTTCGGCTCGAAGTGTCAGCACATTTTTCAAAGGCGCATATAAAATGGCAGTCATACATTATGGCCATATCTGCCTGGGCCAGTCCGGATTCAGCACAACCGATGTCAGTGGATCGGGGAAACGGTCAGTGGGGATAGGAGAGGGGGAAGGGGTCGGAATGGGGTTCGTGTGCTGGCGCACGAGTAACCCCTGTTTTTTATGTGTGTAATGCCTCGGTACAGATTATGCATTAAGCGCTTATTTAGCATTTTTCTTACATAATGTCGCTTCCACTTTGCAATGTTTCGAGCCCATCCCCAATGTCCAGCTCGAATGGCATTTTGTGGGAAGGAATGGGTCTTTCTATATATATATATAGCCATAAAAACTGGACAATGTTATGTGCCTTCTAATCTGTTTATGCCTATGTTACCGTTAGTACATTAACCCTTGGGTGGGAAACGGGGTGGACTTACCTTAATCGTTTTCCTCGTGGGATGAGGAAATTGGAAAGTTTCTACAAAGAGAACTTACCAAGAACTAGCGTCATTACAGACATTATTTTCCCCATTTAGATCTAAGTCATGGATAACTATATAACAGTATTTATTATATTTAACTTTTAACATATTTTAAAGTAATAATACATTTTGTTGATGATCTAAACTTAGTTAGTGCTAAATAAAATAAAATAAGTAATAAATTTAAACTTTGATATACACTAATAATAAACTTTGATATTCACAAAAAAATTTAAAGAAATAATCAAATAAGTTGTTGGTCTCAGTGAGCTGTTCATCAGTGGAATTAATTTTAAAAGTATGTTTTTTAAAAAGACTTTATAAAAATTTAACGGAATACAAATAACCGAATTACACGATATATATTAAGTCAATGCTCGTTTGAATAAAAACACAGATTAAAAAATGAAACAAGTGTTCCCAAAACTTATATGATTTTCTATTTGTTTTTTCAATTTTTTTCATGGCTCCTTATACTCAAACAGTATACTTTCAATATTCAGACTTGATTTGAAATGTAATTTCCCATTCAATTGGGCTCAATGCAAATGGATTCGAGAGCGCACAGAACGCAGAAGGAATAATTGCTTTTTTGCTAATTAATTTGTTATTTTGACTTGCTCCTCATCTGCCCGTTGGCAATGTCCCGATTTCCCCGGCTGTCTGACGGGCTCATTTCTTTTTGCCTGTCCGGGCCGGGCTTATTTCGCTATTAGCGAGGAGCTCTGGTAGGCAAAATGGATAATTAAATAAGGCGAACAAGGTTGAGGGATGCTGGGGAAAACGATGCGCCGATTTAATGAAAATTGCATTTTAATTTCATAAGCAAGGACTTCAGAAAATCTCCCCAATTAATTGCCGAACCCCAAGGCCAGAGGCCAGAACCTTCATAATTTCCTCATCCAGGCTAAATGACCGTTGCGGCTTAAAATAATTGCCCAATTGGCTTTAAGTGGACACACGAGCATTTCATAGTTAGGAACCCGCCCAACCTCCCACCTAAAAAAGGAAGCTCTGCCGGAGGGAAAAAATGGTTGCTTGAAAGTGTCCGTTTTTTATTTGATTTCCTTTTTTTGTCTTTGGTTAGCTGTCGCTCACGTAGGCAGTGTCCATGTAATTAAATTAAAATGGAAAATTTACTCGTACTGCGGATTAAATTAATTTTCATTTGCATTTGCATAAGTTGGTCCCCACTCGCCTCCTTCTCTTTTTCCATCTGGTCTTGCCTTGGCCCTCGTCCATTCATTAATTCCTTCATTATGCCATTTATTGCTGAGCCCGCTAGAAATGTGCCTTAGTTTTTATTTTCGGCCATGTTCATTACCAGTGCGCGGAGCTTACGACTAAGTAGTATGACAGAATCGCAAATACGCCACACGATGGGGCAACTAAAGCGAATGTTAGAACAATATATATATAGTTAGAAAATTAAAAACAGTATTGTATAACCAAAAAGTAAATATGCTCTAAGTTATCACAGCTGCACCAATTAAAATTCTCATTTAAGACCAAATTTTGAATGCTACGACTATTAAAGTCTGTTAACCGATTTTAAAACTACAGATGGCTCCACCAGAAATTCCATTGGAGAGGCGAACAGTACATGTGCAGCGCCATCTAGCGGTTCTAAGGTTTTATCTGCTAGCGCTGAATTTTTTAATATTTCTTTAATCATTGTTCGTTATAAAGATATGTGAGTTGATAGATTTCAATAAATATATACCAATCAAAAAATGTCTCTTCCATTTCTCTAATCCTACGATTTGTGAACATTGTGTCGCTGTATTACTGCACGGAAATCTGTATTAATCCCAACTATCTAGCTTATACAGCTTATACATTTTGCGCAATAAATTATCTTCCTTAATTTTATATGTGATCTTAATAAAAGTATTCCCAAAGAAGTTCATCATCCTCACGTTTGTTGATGGATAGACTTATATACTCCTCATCAATAAACGATTTCTGAAATAATAAAAATGATATTTAATCATTAACTGAAATCTCCTGAGGCATGGTATCATTTCTTACCGGATCAATAAAAACTTGACTAACGAAACAGGTTAGCCTCAATGGACTGCGAACCCTCGGATCTCGAACCGATTTCAGTGCTACGATTGCCCGCTGTATGAAATCGTCGCTGATACACTGCACTTGCCGATTAAAATGCAAGTCGATGGACTGCAACTCCGGACATTCTTGAAAGCATAGTACGAGATGATTAGATATTTCCAAAAACTTTGGATACGACTTGATTTCCAAGCACTCAAGGTGAGTAAGGTGTCGCAAAACGGAGAAACTAGTCGCTTCTCGGAATCCACACCTAAGTTTTCTCAATGATGCGATTTGAGCAATCCTTTCAACCTCTTCGAGGTCTATATACCTGTGGATTATGACTAGTTCCTGCAGTGTGTATGTCAAACCTGCAGGCAATGGCTCAAAAATTCTTGGAAGAGAGCACACCATGCGTGGCAACTCAATAACCAATCTTTGACGGTCCAAGTGCTGAGCCACGCCTTCAAACCCTCTAAAATACGATAACAGAAGATCTCGGGAAATGTGTTCCGGTATTCGAGTCATCAAAGTTTTTTTCTCATCGTAGTCGCCAGGATTTCTGCGTCCAATAATAAGAATTGTCAATTCAGATAACCTGACAAGGTTTTTAATGTCCTCTAACTTTTCGAATATGTAAATAAGTCTTTGCAATGACTTTATTTTCGAAAGTTCTTCGGCTTCCATATGGCTAATGGGCGCACCTTTGACGATCAAACTCTGTAGATTGGATCCGCTAACGAGGGCCAACATCTTAAACAACTCCACAAGGAAAGGGTCCTCTTGATCCTTTAAAATCACCATTTCCTTAACGAAAATTTGGTGTGATCGGATCTCGAATCCAACTGTGCCCTCAGCAGGCAAATTGTCTGGAACTGGAAAATCATTCAAGGAGAGTTTTCTCAAAAGGCCTTTCAAAACATCCTCTTCATTGAGGCCAACAACTAAATAATTTAGTTCCGGTAGGCCAGCCAGTAATTCAAAGTCCTTCGCATCGGAGAAACCGCATTTAAGAGTCCTTAGAGTTTTTATGGATGCTACTTCTTTCAATTCAAAAGTGTTTAGTGTCAAAACGCCAGAATCAATTTCATCATTCTTCGCTTCCATTATCAGCTCTTCAAGAAACAGACTTGGCCTTGCAACCAATTGTGCCAAAAAAGATTGGAGTGATGTCCCTTTACTAGCTCCTGAAATTCGAACAGACTTCAAATTATTTACTCCTGCTAGTGGAAAGATGTCTTTGGAAAACTCAAACGAAAATGCGTTACGCAGTGTTAATCGGCCAGTAGACTGGTTAAAGCCTACTTCTCTTTTCCCCAGACTTATTGTGAATTCTTTCTCAACAGAATTGAAAATCTCAACGATACCCTCTGGAAAACGTTTTTCAAAAGAATTCCCAAGTCCGAGATAGGTTAAATGTGTCAAGTGTTCGATGCTCCGTGAGTCGGTCAATGTGCCTTTAAATTCCTTTAAAGATTTCAGGTTGTGCAATTCAAATGTCTCATTAAAATCGAGAGATCCGTCGCATATTTCAATTTTCTTCAGATTGTTGTAAGCTTTCGTAGATATGGCGTTGAAAAGGGTTCCTAAGTTGCCCCGTTTAATGGTTATTATGAGGGTTTCTGTCCATTCAACACTCGCCAGGGGAACCAGCAGAGTGTCATCTGTGTAACTTTCTATAATACTCATTTGAAGGCCCAACAAATTCCGGCTGCGATCAGACCTTAACGTAATGTCACTGGTGGAAACGAACATTATATTTTCGGATGCGTGTAAAACTTGAAGTATACCAGGCGAAGTTTCGTGGAAGTTTTGTAGCGAGGTAATATCAAGCTCTTTAAGGTTTTTTTTAGCTAGGTCTGAGAATTTTCCAATATCTTGAGCATCGTAAAAACCGCACTCCACGCCTTTCAAAGATCTTATTCGTGCCAGCATCTCAGCTTCCTGGGAATCAATCACTCCCTCTGAGAGCCGGAAATACTGGAGGGTTGAAACTTCCCTCGAAGCCAGAGCCGAGAAGAGGTTCTTTAGGGAACCATTCGATGGTTTGGTGGTAATGGTTAGCTCTTCCAGTTCTATAAGATTATATAGAAGGTCTATGTTCTCGGTGTCAGAGAAGCCACATACTAATTTCCTTAAGTGCCTGCAAGTCGACAATGCTGCGATTTCCTGGGCGTTAATCACTGGAACCATTTGAGGTCTCAACCGCCACCCTTTTTGAAGTAGGTTTTGATAAACCGAACTAAATGGGTTCATCGTGCTTATTGTCAAAATCGACGACTGAGACAACGCTAACTTTTCGAAAAATTCAACAAGAGTACCTGTAGCATGGTTGCCGTTAATTTCGAGACAGTCAAAATTTGGCAATTCGAGCAAGGACTCATAGTCCGAGGCTTTCACGTTGTCTAGAATAAGACGCAGATTTCCCTTGCGATTATAGTCTATTAGGCAGTCTGTTAGACATATTTCCTTTTTTGCTTGAGACGCCTTTAGAATGCTGAAAATTTGTTCTGAGATACTTCTGAAATCGTGCTTTGAAAGTACTTCCAAATTGTTCAGATAATTCAGCTTGGAAATGGGTTCAATATTCAGGTAGGACACTTGGGGGTCTAGAAACCCACATCTTAAGTCGTTTAACGACCCAATCTGAGATAAGGCCGTAGTCTCCTCTAAGTCTAAAAGAGCGTCATCAATGGATAGTTTTCGGAGAATCTTTGGAGTCTTTCTGGTCAAAGCTCTAAAAAGTGATTGTAGGGTCCCCTGCTCATGCACACCGCCAATCTTCAAGTGTTCCAGCATGGGCATTTTGTAAAATGGAGCATATTTCGAGGCATCGCAATCCGAACTCATATTGAATTCAAACTCGATAACTTGCTTGCAATACGGTGCGATATCGGCCAACCGTCGTCCCGCCGATTCGCTATTAAGAACTGTGAGTTTGCGCAAGTCTTGGTTATTACTGCAGCACCTGCATAGCTCCTCTAAATCTACTTTCGCATCCAAAAAAAGATCGGTTAGGTGTCCAAATCCGGTAAGGTCGTCAACGGTATAACCTATATATACGGAAATCAAATTTGAATAAATATGTAATTATTATATATAATATAAGCAAATATAAACGCAATAGTCGAGAGCACCGACTAAAAAATACCCGGTACTTTGTTTACTGATTTCAAAACAATGATGCCCCAAGAGATGGCGCCACATGCAATCCTAATGGCGCGGCAAACAAGAAAAGTGTGGCGCCATCTGGATGTAAAGCTTAACTGATCTTCGTGATAACTTGGAAATAATGGATATTCCTAAAACATTTTTTGTGTGTTGATACATATTGTCGGACATGGCTAGATCGACTTGACTTTTAATCCCGATCAAAAATATATATACTTTATGTTTAAAATCAAAAAATCACTTGGAATCGATATTTAAATGAACACTTATGATTACGGTCCAAAACACTTACTTCCCCCCTTTACTCTACGAGAAACAGGTACACAAATATGTATACCAAACCAGAATCAACAGGCGAGTTATTTGCACTTACTTTTTAGCGATAATAATATACCAAAGATAATAATATATCAACTGCCTGCTGATCCTGATAAACAGTTTACAATTTAGTTCGATTGGCTCACCAGAAATATGAATTTTTAAAGCTTTTAAACTTTTACTTTTCTTCAGCTGGTTCATTACGAGTGCAAACACCTCCATGTGGTCACTGTTGTAACCCCCTGAGGTATATCTCAACTCGACTCTTCTCAAGTGTTCATTCTCTTCCATGGCAAGACTGAGGGATTTCCAGTAGGCTTCCTTTTCTTTCTCTGGGAACTTTTTCAGGCGTGTGTACAATTCGGCAAAGTCGATACTTAAGTCACTCGAAGAGCTCAGATAAAGTAAAAAGATACTTTTATAAAAATCCTTATCCCACTCATAGAAAATGTCCCGAAACAGTCTGCAGCAAACGACAAAATTAATTAAGTCCGTATATTTCATTTCTTCAAGCGTATAAGCCGTATTTGATATCTCGCAGCTTTTTTTAATTTGCTTAAATAACTCATAAAAACAAAAATGGTTCAAATTTAAAATCGTTTTGTGAGACATTTTTTTTATAATCACTTTTTTGAAATTGTCTGTAATAAAACTCTCAACTTTTATTTAGTTTGTTTAACAAATGTAATTTTTCACCAGCACAATAATGTTCACCGTTCCAGTCATTCGCAAAAACTAAATAATACTCTTGAGAAAAGAGCCAAGAAAGCTTATACAGACTGCTCTCTGAAAATCATTGCCGGGTTATCAGCTGATATATAAGTTACTGGACTGGTGGACTCTTTCCGTAAGAGAACTTTGCTTTCTTATTCTCTTTCACGAAAAGCGTAAATCTAAAAATACCTCATTGTTTGGAGAATCTACTGTGGTAGTAAAGTCTTTAAAAGTTGTATTTAACTTTACTTTTCTATTTATTATAAAACATTTATAATACTTGTATATTAGCCCAAGCAAAAAACATCTCAGCCTAAAGGAAACCGCAATTTTAATGAACTTTCGGAGTGGGATATCAGTTTTAAGGTTCTGTCAAGGAAAACTCAGCTCGAGATCAATCGATTTAACCTTCGGCCATGCTTTAAGAAAGGTAATAATAGGGTCAGATAATTCATCGAAATTTGCCAAATACCTTATTCCCAAACGCCCAAGCTTTACAAGGCTGAAAATAAGAAAGAAGCTTATAGCTTCTTTCAAATCATACATAAGTCTTTTTAAGGAAGATGTCCTTTAGGTAACTGTCAACGTCAAATGACGCATATGTTTCAGGCTCTGTGAGTCAGTCAGTGTGCCGCTGAATTCCTTTCTCTACAATCTCACTAAAATCGAGAAAGCCGACTTTTACCAAACCTTTCTTCAGCGAATTACAAGTTCTTACAGATGAATTACATTGCACCGCTTAATTAATATTTGAAGACTTTCTACCCAATCCAGAATGGCCAGGAGAACCAAAAAACAATCACCTCTGGAACTCTGCCTAATATCTAATCTAAGGTCAAGAATCTTTAAGCTGCGATCTAAACCAAAACTGAGATCCCCGGTGAAAACAGACAGCTTCATAGGATCAAGAATTCCCTAAATTCAGATTTGTGACGAACCCCAGCAGAGCATTTTTGGATGGTTCTTAATTATATTTATGGTATATCTCAACAATAATCAAGTTTAAAGGTTATAAATAAAGATTACTGCGAAACGTATAATAATATACTGTTTATTTGCTTTGCTTTGACTAAATATTACAAATATAATTAAAACCTTGTTTTATAGTTAAACATATCAAATGAATATCGGGAGATCGTGAGGGTAGAATCTCATTCTCATTCCCTCCTTATAAAGTGCTCTGATTATCTTACTTTGTGCTACTATTAGTTTTTTGAGTTAGTCATAGCCGCTATGCCTTAGATTTAGTTATAAATTCGAACTTTGTTGACAGCTTGTTCTTTGGCGAAATTCTCTTTTCTAATATTGTTTACAGTTGATGCATTAATAATAAAGTTGATTAGCGATCTGAGTTTCAGCGACAACTGAGAGAAACTTATTCATTATCGACTTTTTTATCGGCTTTTTCTCTCGCACCCACAATTTAGCAAAGAGAGGATCGAACAACGACGTTCTCTTGGTGTTGTGAAAGTCTCCAGAAAATACTCTTTACTAGTCTGAATGTTTACCACTAATTCCCCGGAGTCCCAAAATTCAGTCTGTTTCGAGCTTTTGAAGGGCTGTCAAAACAATACGACGATGTTGCGGCGATAGCAAACCATACCCTTTTAGAGAAGGCTAAAAATTAAAATAAATATCACTCATTCTACAAATTCATTCTGTATAAAAATAAATATATATATTAACAAGAAAAAAAATTTTCAAAAAAAATATTAAACACAAGTGAGGAAAATAAAAAGTGAAGAAATGATCATTGTTATAATTACATATTTGGTTGACCACTAAATCATTTCATCTGAAATGACCTTATGACCATTTTGTAGATGACAAAATTGGTAAAGTGTAATAAAAGATTAAAAGAAGTCGGGGCTAAATTCGGAATTTTATTTTATGCCAATGTTTAATCGCTTTTGTCTTCACAATTTTTAAATATTTATTGCTCTTTTACTAATACAAATAACTAATTTAAAGTGGATAAATATAACGGAATTAAAACAAATCGATTTTTATATCTGTTTATGAAAGTTAATACGATGAATGACAAATTCATTGTATTCTTTCAAATTGTCAAATAAAAGGAAAAATGTTAATAAAAATTACGATTTATTCAGTTTAAATATTAAAAAAAAATGTATCAGTTTTTTTTGCCTCTTCCATAATTTTTAAAGTTTCAAAGGAAATCTGCCGGTTTGATAAATCTTGAACGAAATTTTTAAAACTTTAAGGCGTTGGGTGGAGTAGATAACTGTTTCTCGTTTTTCTCCGAAATAGGAGTTGAGAATATGTGAACTCTGTTTAAAATGTTTACAAACCTCAAAAGAAAAAAATGATTCACAATGAACACCTGCAGTTTTTGGAACCCTTTAAACATTACAAAATATCTTTCATAGTATTAACCCTCGCTACACCTGCCTTTGCGACTTCAGTGAATAACTGAAAGTTGGCAACCCGAGTTTATGATGTCCTGGTTAGACAGGCACACATAAACATTCCTTTCTCTTTGGCATCCCCAAAGCTGGATATTTATTGTGCGTACAATGTTCAAATTCCAAATTAAAATCCTTCAACGAAAATTATTACATTTCATTTAAACCGAGCGAGCAACTTAGGGCACATCATAATTAATCCCATACCAACACAGACCAAAAGTGACAGAGAGGATGCCATGGTAAGTGAATATGTGAGCGGGTGGATGTCATATAAATTCCATAATACGATGTAATTAAATTTGAGTCAAACTAAAGCACGTAAAGCTCCCCATAATTGAGCGACATCATATGAAAACCAGGCAAATGTAAGCACTGGAAAAATTAAATCCTAAAAGTGAGTAAGATACATGGGGTTTTTGAATACATACAATTATTTATTTAGCTTTTTATTATTATCTATAATTTTGAAAAGCTATATCTATAACTTTTAAGATTTGGACTAATAATAAAAAGATTTGAACCACATTTTTAATCGGAAAAGATATGAAATACATATATTTTTTTAAGTTTTTTAGTCGCTAAAACAAACATGAGCTAACTAAGATTAATCCGAATGGGTTTTATTATCAATACATTTTGTAATCAAAACTGTGGTTACATTGTAATTGTATTTAAAATCCTTTCCAAATATTTTATAGATTATTGAGAAAAATATTTTTATTTCTGTGTACATACGCACTGAAGTATAATAACCAACAGTATCTTGTTTGGCATATAAAGTCATAAACCAAGTGTGCAATTAAGCCGGTCTGCTGACAGGGTCTAACCACTCCCTGAGCCCCTTTTTCCGGAGGAATTCTCTTCTTTTTCAGTTGAGCTTATTTTTACAATTTTATTGTTTATAATTTACGAGGAGCCAGTGTGGGGAAAGTTGCCTCAAGTCAAAGTCGCGGACATGACATGGCGGCCAAGTGGCAACCTTTGTCCACTGACAGCACTGACCCTCCCCTGACCCCATGCTGACCCCCTGCTGACCCTTCAGAGGCCGGCAGCTCATTACAAAATGTTGGCGTCGGCTGTCAGCTACACATGAAAATTGCACAACGCTTGCCTTATTACAAACGAATTGTACAGCGAATCAGGAGCAGGACCACGCAGACCCCTGAAATCCTTCCTCTTGCTTGGCATTCGGCTTGGCAACATTTTTTCATTTTTTACCAGTTCCCTCATTTTATTTTAATTTTGTGCCTTACTCTCTCACTTTTCCTTTGGCTCCGCTGCCTCTTTTTATTCTAATTAAATTTTTTCAGCCCAAAGAGGACTGGGACTGGATGATGGCGGCCAACAAGGCGAATTTATTCTTCTGTAAAAACAAGAAAAATTACGCAAAATAAATAAATTTACATAAGCTCGGAGTAAGCTAAGAAAAAAAACAAGCAAGCATTTGTACATAACAATAAATAAAATTGCATTTTCATTTAGGTTTTTCCTTCTTTGGGTCTGGGTCTGGCCATTGGTTGGGTTCTAGGTCTAGGTTTGGTTCGCTTTGTCCAATTTCTCAAAGAAACCCAACCGGAAAAACAACAAACAAAAAATAGGGTTACATAGTAAGATCGCTTGGTATTTGCCTGTTATTCGAAAGTAATTAAAAGGAAAGACTTTAAGTCCGTACATACTTAGCAGTATTGCAATGCAAATTAAATCCTCTAAGTTTATTTTGAACCATTAAAAAGTTTTAAAAGCATAAAAATGTAATTTTTATACCCTGGCAGAGGGTTTTATAATTATGACACATTCAACCATAAATATTTATTCTTGTTATTTTAATGTAGTTTTATAAAAATCGAAAGTCTATGTCGAATAGTTGCAACCGTAGCGATCTAAAAATGTATCGGAAAATCGACTTAACTTTTCCGTTTTTAACCATATTCACATATTTTGTAGAAAAGCTGTAAGAGTAAAATCATTTATTTAAAAATCAGATTTCAGTGACCTTTTTTGCAAATTCAACTGTTATAATATTTTTGGGGAATATATAAGACTTAATGAATTTATATATGTTTTTAAACGCTTTTGATTTTCCGTTTTCTCTTTATTACGAGAAGTTAGGTTTTTGAATTACATTTCAAAACCATAATGACTTTGATCCCCCTAAACCTCAGCATTGGGATGCTATTTGAAAGGAACAATTTCATGGTAACGCGCATTTTCGAACACTCTGCATTTATCTCGCCACTTTTGAAAAACCGTTCGCCTAAATATGGTCGCGCAATTATCGTCTGCTAATTCGAGTGGAACCTCCGAACTCCCACTTGACCACAATTTTGGATTAGGCAACCGGCAGCAGTTGAACAAAGGAATAAATTCATGGGATTGGGTGTTCATTCTGGTTACTGGGGGTTTGTTTAATCGGCGGAAGCCAAACGCGTAGAGTCCTTTTTACTTGAACAAGAATAAAAGCAAACTCTAAAATAACCGGGCTATAACCACCGAAGGCCAGTTTAACTCCTTAATACGTAAACAGAATGCTAAAACTATTCATCCCAAATTGTATGTAT